GGCTATATATATAAAAAACCGGATACAAATAGCTGTTTTGCGAAATTGAGAGCAATTTTAAATCTGTTCAGTTTTTTTTGATACACCCTGTATAATAAATAACCTTAGGCACTAGGCAGCAAGGAATATTACGTTCTCCCACTCTAATCTCTTTTGGATAACTTCTCTCGCCCCAATTTTATTTGGGAGGAAAATATGAGGGTCTGGTGGTCCTTTCCAAAAAAACATTTAGATTTTTGATGCTCAATGACAGCATTTCTGGCATCTGGAGCAACCACAACGAAAACGAGTAAATGAGAAGACTGTTTTGAGGTTATATTTTTGTTAATTTGGTGACTGCACATTTGAGTTTTAAGAACTGCACAAATAGGTTTAGAACTGCACATTTTGTGTAGAACTGCACGTTAAAATAAACCCTGCAGGTTAAACCCTCTCAATCCACATCTTTCTGGTATTCTTGCAAGATGCTATTATTACTTTACCTGGAAGTACCCTGAATTAGCTTACAGTATAATGTTTATTTCCCGAACTGGTTTGACATATTTTTACAAATGGCCAATCACATACGAGATTCAAATTCTGAACCTAATAAAGTGTGGAAGTGGGATTTGCAACCGATGTGACCGGAGGCTCTTCTTCTCGCCTCTCGTTAATTTCGCCTTGCAAAAGAGCTTCTGGAACCAGGGTAACCTGGAAGATATACTAAGCAACGATTAAAGTTCAACCGACTATAGGTAACATAGCATGTTTTTGTCCAACAGGAATGTGCATAACAGTAATCCATTGAGAAATAGATCAAGTCAAAATGAATATGATGTAGAAATTTTGCCATACAATAGAACAAGATTGATTCTAAGACCATTGGCTTTTACACTTGTAGTAAGTTGCTACTTTATTTACTACTTTAGTTAGCTAGTTTACCATTTTGATTTGTACCTGTGTTATCCAGTTTATATGCCATTTTGATTTGTATCTAATTTTATATTTATTGACAATGGAATAAGAACTTTGAAAAATGACCTGCATCTCTGAAGTCTCTTAATTCATTTGCACTGTAGTGTATATATCCTTGTCGCTGAATGGATTCTGTTTTAGGACTTTTCTTGTGATGTCCTACAGTGATAAATTACAGTATCAGATCTTAGAGACCTCCGTTTCTGTACGAAATATTTTACAGGTCCTTTATCAGGTGCTTATGAAATTTTTGTACTTTAAGGAGAGGCGTTTATTATACGTAAGAGTCTATTAAGAAGAGACATTTCTTCTTTTCAGCAGTTTGTTACAGCAGTTTCCAAACAAAATCTTTTTCACAACATTAGCAATGGACTTCAAATAAGCCCCATAATCCAAACATAGTAGACTGTTACGTCATTGTTTTTAAGAGTTCCGTTTTCGTTTGTCAATAAGTGGTGAAACTTACCCAATGGCAATGTTTCTAATTGATCTCGCTCAAACTATAACATACTGTAATATATCGTTTGCAAATGTAGCGTTTTTAGGCCTATTCCGCATAGGCGTATGCGTATTTGTGTTGATATGAAGTATTTCTAAATTTGGACCGTCTCGCTCGATGGGACAGAATGTTGAAGGTTTTGTAGATGGAAATTTTGAGTGAAGAGTACATTACATATTTTAGACCTAATCTGGAGCAGTCGCGAAAAATGCAACCATATATAGGCCTATCAACAGAGATGTACAGTTGTAATTCAGTTGTAATTGTTTACTTTTATATGATTTCCAGCGTGTTTTTCAGTTTTTCTAGTTACTATGCTTGGCTCTGGAATGGTGCGAACTTTTGCTCCTCTTGTATGATCTCCGTTATTTGGCATGCACATATGTCATATTATTACAAAAATATTTCATACTTGTCGCGCCTATGCTTCATTTCATCCTTTCTTGTACATTGGAAAACTGGGATTTTTAATATATTTAGGTATCCTCAGGAAGTTTTGTTGCAGCAACAATTGCACAATATGAAACAATTAGATCAAATTTATCGCAACATTATCGACGGAGTTATTCACATCTTGACAAAAAATTGTTCAAATTTAGACAACAGGTACAGTAAACATCAACCTTCAAATATCTGCTCTCCCAAGTCAACAGTTGCAACGTAGTGTAGACTAAAACTATATAATGTACTGTACCATAATTATGTTGTTTCTGGACCAAAACTATATGTATACAGGTACTGTACCATAATTATGTTGTTTGTTGATTTAATTGCCAAATCAAATGGTCGGCCAATGGCAATGATGAATGCATTTCTATTATGACTTCACTTTCATGCCGTAAGTCGCGGGATGTACAGTTTATTCTCTGGAATTGTAAGACATGCAGACGAATTCAAACTCAAGAGTCTGGCAGATCCTCGTTTGGATATAGTCAAGAGAATATGAAGTGACATTTCTTTCCACCATCAGTGTGGGGAATAATTGAGTGCAAAAATCTCAAAGGAAAATTTTAAGCGCCCACAAGGACTGTTTTAAACGACGTAAGGAAGAACTATAGGATATTTAACGTGAAACTACTAAATATCTACCTGATGTCTTTGACATTAATTGGGACGAAATATCACAAAACCCTTGCGTTTTGATATAGGCTCTCATTTTGTCGACGTTTTCAAAATTGTACTCCCGCATAACTGGATTGACTGCATATTGTTTTATCAAATTTAATCGAGTGTTACCATTTGCAGCTAAATAAATGGTGGAACGCATTGCATCCTGGTGAAAAGACTGCTTCGGGTTTGTTTGAAATTTTTGTTCGAGTTTAAAAGGTTTATTATGCAGATGTCATTGTGAATTAATATAATTTGTTGTAATAACCTTTTTTATTAATGCTGTACTTATTACAAATTTTTTTGTTTTTTCCATTCAGTTATTATCGCACTTAATGTTGGTGTTTTCTTGCTATGGAAAATTCCGATCTTACAAAAAACCATGACAAAGTGGTTTACAGCTTTCCCACTCTCAGGTATTGTGCTGTTGATGTGATTTTATAATATAGCATTTGTAAATTCTGAAATTTCTTTCTTTATGTTTTTTGTGCTATATTATAAAACAAATATAAAACATTTTTTCCGTATTGATATAAACAGTTATATCAACACTCGTGGAAATTGGGAAAACTCGAAATTGTGTGAAAACACTCCGCCCTTCGGGCGTCGTGTTTCCACACAATTTCTCGTTTTCCCAATTCCCACTCGTTGATATAACTGTATATCAACACGGAAAATGTTTTATATTTGTTAAATATCACTCAGTTTTTGAGTGTTAAATATCACTCAGTTTTTGAGTGTTTTTGAGTGACATGATGTGTTAAATTGTCCAGTATAGCCTTATCATCAATTTGCATTTTTGTGTTGTACATGACATTAGGGTACCCAAACTGTGAGCTACTTTTGTATATATTTTTATAAATTTCTCTGAAAGAAAATTGGAAAAAGTCTGAACACTATGGAAAATCGGCCGGTATAGTGGGTTAATAAGGTACACTGCAGGCCGACACATGCACGGTGAGGACGTTTACGTGACCTTGAGAAGTATCTAAATCGCGAGAGGTATAACTTCAACGTCAACAGTCCTAGAAAGTTAAACTATACAGTGGCTTGGGGGCAGTGGGGATGTTTATCTATAAAGCATTAACTCTATAATACTGTTCCTCCCGGACAACATTGCACGTCTAAATTTTCTATATTTAAACTCTCTTCGACTATATGAACATGGGTGAACGATCATGCATTCCTAGGTGTGATTTAGTGCACGTATATATATTGACTGCTTAAATGTGTTTTTATCAGGTTTGTCTTTACCAATGTTTCTCAGTGGTTTTAGTCACGTGGAGGCATGGCATTTAGCCTGCAATATGATAGTATTATGGAGTTTCTCACCAGTTATTTATGGTACAGATAAGTTGTTTCTTTTACGTTTTAATTATAGCTTAACAACATTGTTTGTCATATATATATATAATTATATATATATATATATATATATATATATATATATATATATATATATATATATATATATATATATATATATATATATATATATATATATATATAAATACAGATTCAAAAGCTTTTTTTAGGTGCGCTATAAAACACGTGCATCAGTGTAATTCCAGTTCAGTCCTTAAATTTGATAGGACAATATATAATAACAAGATTTACAAACTAGAAGTTATTGAATATTGTTCTTGAATTATTGATTACTCGCCTTCGGCTCGTGATTTCGCGCGCTTTTCTTAACTCAAGCAACATTCCCAAGTGTTTGGATCAGGCCATCCAAACACGGAAACCATAAATTAATTGTTTTATAAAATAACAACTTTTCGTGTTAAAATTTCACTTTAAAAAACTTTCGCTTTAAATTTCTGTGTTTGGATGGCCTGATCCAAACACAGGTTTCGACCAATCACAGCACGCGTTATATACATGTTATTTTATAAATATAATCAATGAAATAGATTATCATCATTTCATGCAACCAGTTTCTTTTGCTACCTTAAAACCTGGCTGTAGTCTTCGGCAACCAACGTGTATTATGCTTGATGATCCAGACACCAAGTTTTTAAAATTAATAGCAACCGTCCGTTTTCAGATCAAAATAGTTTTAGTCAATACATAATTAATGTATATAAATAATGTAAGTATATAAAATGCAATTACAGACTGCTTAAGTAAAACAAATAAAAATACAGTATAATGAAAAGGTTGTTTTGTATTTTTTATAGACATGTTAGGTAGAGAGCAGTTCTTAGCATTTTACGTTAGTGGAGGTAAGAAATGTATTATATATTTAAATCAACACAGTTCTTTGTTTGGGTCAGTTCCTTATAATTTTTGCATGAGTGTTTTAATGAATATAGACTGTGTAGACTTCAATATAGAGTGTAATACTGCATGTAATACAGCACAATACTACAGTAAATTGCATATACCTGTATACCATACAGTGCAGAGAGGTGCAGGGCGGTGCAATTTGCATTTTGCAGTTTTCAGTGCACATACAGTTTGCGGTTTTCAGTGCACATGCAGTTTTCAGTTTTCAGTACAGTTTTCGGTGCAGTTTGCAGTACAGTTTTCAGTTTTCAGTGCAGTTTGCAGTTTCCAGTGCAGTTTTCAGTACAGTTTTCAGTTTTCAGTGCAGTTTTCAGTTTTCAGTGCAGTTTTCAGTGCAGTTTTCAGTTTGCAGTACAGTTTTCAGTTTTCAGTGCAGTTTTCAGTGCAGTTTTCAGTTTTCAGTGCAGTTTTCAGTTTTCAGTGCAGTTTTCAGTTTTCAGTGCAGTTTTCAGTGCAGTTTTCAGTTTGCAGTACAGTTTTCAGTTTTCAGTGCAGTTTTCAGTGCAGTTTTCAGTTTTCAGTGCAGTTTTCAGTTTTCAGTGCAGTTTTCAGTTTTCAGTGCAGTTTTCAGTGCAGTTTTCAGTTTGCAGTACAGTTTTCAGTTTTCAGTGCAGTTTTCAGTGCAGTTTTCAGTTTTCAGTGCAGTTTTCAGTTTTCAGTGCAGTTTTCAGTTTTCAGTGCAGTTTTCAGTGCAGTTTTCAGTTTGCAGTACAGTTTTCAGTTTTCAGTGCAGTTTTCAGTGCAGTTTTCAGTTTTCAGTGCAGTTTTCAGTTTTCAGTGCAGTTTTCAGTTTTCAGTGCAGTTTTCAGTGCAGTTTTCAGTTTGCAGTACAGTTTTCAGTTTTCAGTGCAGTTTTCAGTGCAGTTTTCAGTTTTCAGTGCAGTTTTCAGTTTTCAGTGCAGTTTTCAGT